GTACGCGTATATGTTGAGGAAAACTAGCGACTGCGGAGGAGAAAAGCACAGTCTGTGTGAACTTTTTGAGAGAGAAAAAAGCTTGACTAGAAAGGCACGGTTCGTGGCTCGTGTCACTGCCAAACGGCAACTGAAGCACGGGAGCAACGATGAGCATGTACTCTGCTTTCTTCTTGGACGAATCAGTTTAAGGCCGCGTCTGTCGCGTATGGCCTTGGCCTAAATGGACACAAGGCTGAGGTAAATGAATCTGCAAAGGGCGGTGAGTTCACATCCGCACTTGAAACGATCGTAAACAAGCTCGTTTGTCGACAAACATCGCCCGATCCGTCTTACCTTGTAGCACCTTGCCAATTTCGTGTGCAGCATGCGCGACACATGGCGCAAACTAATGCGATAACTGAACTCGTCTCCATCGGCCGGGAACGTCAACACTAAAAGAAAGCTGCGATGCACACATTATATGGACAAACCAGACTGTCACCGTTGTACATGACAGCGATTGACGGCGGGGTCAACATAAACTCAAAACGAGCATCCAGCCGTGACAGATTAAGCTGTAAACGTCTGACGAAATGCAATGCGCATGGGAACGATGCATCAATCACTGCAACTATTTCATCTTGTGACGACTTTTGACCCAATATCAGAAAGGTCAAATTTCATACGTGGACGATAAAGTCGTCATCGGCTGTCTTAAAGACTTAAGATGACGCCTCCGGCGCATCGAATGCATGAATGTTGCAGATTACCTGATTTTCAGGCGTTGACTATTAGGACGATATAAGAGCGAAAATCCGGTATCGCAGGCAATAACGTCGCAATAACTCTGGGAACTTAAACATAAGAATGTGGTACAACTTCAGAATTGAGTCGAGCACTTTTCGTTACCGAAAAAGGATTAACTGATAGTGTTTCAGAAACTACTTCGTAATGGCAATATAAAAAATTGAGACAGACGACTGTGACAAGGAAGTTACTTGTTGGAAGAGCAGCGTGGGGAAAACGCTGTTTCCCGGACCTTCCATTCCGAAACGAAAAAATTCATTCCTTCGCCTTCTTCAAAAACAATTATTAATAACTCTTGAAGGTAAAACTCAGCGAAACAAAAATAAATAATCGCTTAAATTCCTTCACCCAGTTATTAACGTAATCGCTTCGTTTTTACAGTATGCCGGATGTAGAGTACTGATATAAGCAAAAATACCCTCACCTACAAGCGGAGCACATTTTCTATCTTTCATACTTTCCCAGTTCAAGGCAGCTAAGCAACAGAGAGCATAGTGCATGAAAGTAGTTTGAAGTAGATTACCTCCAGACTAAATCATTCACGAAAAACACCCACACCACAAGCCATCAGATGATTGACTCCTCTGAATATGCGTGAATATGAATATTCGAGTGAATATAAAAATTCATTAGTTAATCAACACTGCTGAACTTCGCAAGTTTAAGTATATGGATTGAATTATTTAGGCGGGTGTGTGATTATTCATCAGAATGGACTTTAACGGTTTACTCGGCGCACATAGATAATTTTAGAGTTGCCTGATGCTATGGATCAATCCATCATAATCGATCCATCTTCAGGACCACATTGTACAAGGTATTTACGAAGTATGGTAAACAGTTACTTACACAACCACAAGAATTTGCATCAAGACAGATAATAAATGCAGTGCTCACACAACAGTGACAGCAAGTGACACAGTGCAGAGAATCGGTATCAAGGGCGTCAACATTATGCCGCTCCATGCTTAACTGGTGTCACTATAATTTTCGCATAGTCTTCGTTGCTTAATCTAGAATAAACAAACTTCAAGATACTCAGCCTCGCTTCAAATTTTTGGTTTCCTTTTGGTCTTGCGACTGACCAACAAAAGTTTGAGCAAATACTCGACAATCGATTATATTTAAATAGTTAAAACGTGCAATTATCATACTTATATGCCGTAAATCAAGCAATTACAATAACTTAAGGCAACTTGAACGCAATCGCAGATGAATTTTTGTTAAGGGAATCAGTTCACACCTTCATTATTTGTTGCAGTAGAGTTCGAATAGATGTCTCTGCTATATAATATTTATCTTTTATTTCATGATTATGTCTCCTGCTGATTATTGATAACTATCCAATGAGTCAAGGCAAACTGCAGTCGTGTGGAACATACGTGGGTAATATATTCTGTAGCTTCTGAAACAACCACACCAGAGCACCATGCTTTCCTTATTATTCGCAAGTTAACGATTTACTAACCGCGTCTAGGCTGCTGCACGGAAGTACAAAAGGGTGACTTCCTTGCCCAAAGGAATTAGTAGCTTTAATAGGAAAATTTCAACCACATATTTTAATCTAAGCCGACACCTACTGTTCAGCGTAATACAGCTACAGCACAACCCATTGCGTTACTGCCATCCCTCAAAGTATAGACGCATAGCTTCCTCGAATTTTGTCTCCTGCCGAGCGATTGCTCTCTTCAGTATCAATTATGTAAAACACTGCGACATGCAGTAACTGGGCTGAAACTACTTAAACGAACAGCTAGCAGCATTGACGAAGTAGGACTAAAGAAGGTTCACAAGGCGAATATCATACACTTGTAGGGGGATGTACTTCTTCTGTGTGGCTAATGGTGACAACATGTCATCTCTGACGGTTTCATTAGGTAGCTTAGCCAGTAGTTGTGAAAGGGATTTCAGAAAACATCCCAAAACTGACTGTCGAAGGTTCAATAAATTTCTGCTCCACTGATTCGCTTTCGACTTTGTGTGTACATCATTGAAATGGATAAACTTCTCCACACTTATATCTGATCAATCCGAGGTTTTCTTATGCGACATGTGTTTGGTACAGTTTTGAAGTTTATTTTCTTCCCATACTCAACAGTGGTATTTGTAATGAAAACGTTGCAATCACAGTATTTACTGCATTGCAGCATAGCAGCATATTTGAGGCGGCAAGCATGATAAATGGAGGTTATGATATTTCGCTGTTGTTCCAAGCGCACTAACCATTCGCCATTTATTTTTCAACGAGAATATCTTTCACTGGAAGGAGAAGACATTGGATCAGGTGGTCAAGTTGATATCCTAGCTAGCGGCGGCAAAATTTATAGCCTTCCAAGAAATGAGCCGCACATCGGACGATTCCTGTCCACAATTTGCCAGACAACTAGGAACCAAGAATCCGACGTTACCAGTAATAAGCACTACGAGAGGTTTCGTATTACATCTTGAAACGTTCGTACCTTCACTGGCGAAGGTAAGATGGACGATGTCTGCTGTGCGACCCGTCGGTACCAACTCGATCTACCAGCAGCAATAGAAGCTCACCTTCCTAACCTCCGTTCCGTCATAACGTCACAACTGTCAGAGGGGGCCTCAACATAAGCGTGGTGCTGAGTACTATACATGGTAAGGCGTACCCGCTTGTCACTGTGTGTTGACAGTATGAATGACAACGCCTGGCGCTTGTTACATTTTGTGTGAGGTTTCGCAAGTTGCAGCGGGTGTATTTCTGTCACCTGAATCTAGCGTCATAGCAAAGCACTATTTTATTTCAAGAAAAAATAGCTTTCAGATTTATAATATAAATGGCGATAGATAAGAAATGCCGTTAATATGTAGTTTTGATGCTGATTTAGCTAGTAAACGTCAATAAAGTGCCACGTTAGCGGCCAAAAATACAGTAGTAATGGAAGGCAAACCTGAAAGTTCCCCTGAAAGAACATATTGCATCCTTCACCAAAAAAGAATATACAAACTCAGTCCTAATGACGTATTCCCTAACACTACTTCACAGAATGCATAAGAGCGAAATTAATCTGTCTCTCACATGGTTGAGAGACAGATTAATTGAACATATTCTAAATTTCTCTAGAACGGTAGTATCGACCGTGGACGTCGTGGATATACCAGACGGTGCTGAGTGCTAGGGCAATATGATAGCAAAATTGTCTCAGTCCTCGTATCGTAAGATTAGACTCACAGTTTAAATAACATGATCAACCTCTGCATTCGTCCTTCAGCAGGTTGTAACCCTAGAGGCCTGCGCGTACGAACAGCGTTAACACGTTACTACTACGGTGCAACAATATGCACAATTATATCCACCGTATGTTAAATAGTGTTGTAAAGTGCCTAATATCTTAATTATGTTAAGATGACGGTTATGTGTATGCGAGCATTTTGTGGCCATCGTTCATTGTCACCTGGATGATGAATAGGACCAATACTGGTAGAACGTCAGTCGCCAAATAAACCTACGTTAGGTGTCTCCAACCAGAGAAACAGAAGTCCTCATATGGGCTGGTCCTTAGGGCATCGAGTCCGCAACTTTGCTGTTTATGCGGAGCCCGTTTTGTTTACTTTTCATAAGTTAATATTTTATCGAAGTCATGCCAAAAGAAACGTTTATGTATTTTTACGTCTATCTGTTGCAATACACCTGTTGCGAAAAGTCATGTTGGGAAAGGAGTTTAAATTTTCATTAAACCCAAAAAATGCTCCGGCAGCATCACTAAAAAGTGCAAGTTCATAACTGGGAGATCGGGAAGCAGCGTCCAAAGTACAGTTGCACAACTGCATCTAGCCTACCCCAAATGAGATCTCCTCTATCTAAATGGTAAGTGGATAACGTTGCCATTATCCTGCATTTAGGAATAAATACGGAATGGTATCCCCACCAACCTTCTGTCTTGAATGCAAGCCAAATTTGATGGTTCAGAATATTATACCGACTCTGCGGTTGTTAGTCACGTGTGCACAGCTCTCGCATGGCATAG